AGGACCATATGTCACGATGTATGATATTAATATAATAAGGACCATAGATCACAATGTATGATATTAATATAATAAGGACCATATGTCACGATGTATGATATTAATATAATAAGGACCATATATCACGATGTATGGTATTAATATAATAAGGACTATATGTCACGATGTACGATATTAATATAATAAGTACCATAGATCACGATGTATGATATTAATATAATAAGGACCATAGATCTCGATGTATTCATGATGTTAGAAAAATATGTAGGTTCAAGAAGTCTTGATAGGAAATAAAAACCCTATAACCTGAGCGCTTTCGAAAGGTGGATGTATGATATTAGTATAACAGTGATATTAGAGATATTATTCAAATATATTTAATGCAATGGATGATGTAAGAGAAAACGTAATTAAGAGAAACGTATTAATAATCATTATTGTACGAAGCTAGTCACTGTTTTATAAGTTATTAACAGGTTTGTTTGTAATTAAGCACAAAGCTACACAATGGGCTATCTGTGCTGCGCCCTCCACGGGTATCGAAACCCGGTTTCTAGCGTTGTAAGTCCGCAGACATACCGCTGTGCCACTGGGGAACAAAGTAACAGGAGTCACAAGATTTATGTAAAACACGAACAAAATTTCAATTTCAAAAAATGATGATATAAATACACAGTTATTACTAAATTCAAAGCGGAGACAAGTTACATTAATTGAGCTAAACCCCAGTATATTAATGAATATACTTTCATTAATACAGAGACAGCATTCTTCAGTGGACACGGGAACTTCAGATAATTTTAGTGGACAATTGTCTCGTGCTAATCTTAACATGGCCTTTGCAATCCTTTACCACGAGCGTGTGCCACCTATTGGTAAATCAAATATAACTTCTTCGAGCACAAAAACACCCAAACTTTTAGACATATCCAGCTGTAACTAAACAATATATAATAAACAGTTCTCAGCTATAGGAATTGTTTTAATTGTGTGTGAGGACAAATACTGTAAAGAATACTGAACTTTAAGGATTGTTGATTTGTGTGCGTTAGGATAAGTACAATATACTGTAAACAATACTGAACCACATGCGCGTGGATAAACATGGTATATCGTAAACAGTACTCAACTATTGTTTTAACTGTGTGTGTGAAGATAAGCTCAATCACTTGATGTTTATATCCAAACAAGGATTGTTATACTGTTAATACAAGTTACTAATGAACATGGCATTTAGATTGTTTAGGAACGCTGTGCTTATCATGTAATGTTTTTTCTGATGACGCTACTGAGTGTCTAATTTTTGACATCGTCCAAACTTTCTTACAATATGGAAATACTTCTCGACTATCTTTGAAATATCAACGAGAATGGTCATTGAATTTTAAATACATAAATAAAATTCCACAATGTAAATAAATCAAATGGTTTTGAAGACATTTATGGGATATTTTAATGTATTACTTTATTTCATTATGAAGAGATGTATATAAATATATTGATTGAGTTTTGTTGTGATGCTACCTGTAGTTTGATTTCCAAGACACAGTTACGTGATTCATAACCCAACATATCAAAAGTACAAATTGTACAATATATGGTAATGTCCTAGTGTCTGATTTTCCTGAACCTTTCAAAATGATTCCTCTTTTTCTTTCTTATCTGAATTGTACATCTCATAAAACATCGTATTCTCAGCACAGTTTTTATTGGCACTCCTCACCCCCACCCCTCATGAGTGAATTCAAACACAACCGTTTGCTAGCTTTCTTCCACGCTTTTTAGAGGCATGATTTTATTGGAAATGACGTTTTCAAAGGGATGGTAAGTTCTGGTTATTGAAACGATAAAAACCTCTCTTCCGTAGTGAAAAATAAGTTATGACACATCGTTGACAACACCTTTATTACACCACGTATGCAATAAAAACTGCATTTATGGATTTTGTAGAGAAATATGGAATTTATTCGGACATGTCGTCCAAAAGTAGTAACTTTTCAAGCATCGCTTTGAAAGCAGTACAGACGATACTTAATGACGACCATTGATATTAGTCTTTCTCCTAGCGGCATAGTTGGGAACAAAGGCCAAAAATATATAATTTCACAGTTCGTATTTTGTCAGGTGTAAAAACTGTTATCCGTTTACACACTAAAAAAAATGAGTTGTTTTATCGGTTTGTAAATGAACAACATTATGACATATTGGGCACACTAACATTATTACACATGACACACTAAACAGTGCAATACATACACACACAAAAATGGGTTGTTTTATCGGTTTGTAAATGAACAACATTATGACATATCGGGCACACTAACATTATTACACATGACACATTAAACAGTACAATACATACACACACAAAAATGAGTTGTTTTATCGGTTTGTAAATGAACAACATTATGACATATCGGGCACACTAACATTATTACACATGACACATTAAACAGTACAATACATACACACACAAACTATTCTATTGACTCGATGGTTAATGTGTTTCAACTGCTATAGTTATGTCTAATTACTTTAGCTTTTTCGGACTTGTTAGCATGGGCGTCCGCAGAGGGGGACACTTGCCTCCCCCCTCCGTAAAATAAGAAACGTGATTCTTTCTTTATTCATTCAGCATATGCATTTGAATTTTTTATTCAATTCACAATTTCACACTACTTTTCCCCTCCCCCGTAAAACCATGCTTGTTAATGTGTTATTAGATAGAATAAATTACCTAACAATTATGGTTTATATCTGATTGAGACACTTACTTTCTGTCATCATGTTCTAATCATAGAATTTCAATGTAACATTAGTGAAATATTTACTTTCTGTAACTAATTATGTTACTTTATTTTAACTAAAATATTTACTTCATATCCCTCATCTTACTTCAACGTCTCAGTAACTTTACATAATTTTTTATTATAATTATTATAATAATTGTTATTATAATTGTTATAATAAACAATAACTTTATTTCACTTGTCTCTTCAATGAAATATTTCCTTATTATACTTCAGTGCTTCACCACTAAACATAAACTTCAGTTATTATACTTCAATGTCTCACCACTAAACATAAACTTCAGTTATCATAATTCAATGTCTCACAACTAAACATAAACTTCAGTTATTATACTTCAATGCTTCACCACTAAACATAAACTTCAGTTGTTATAATTCAATGTCACTCTGCTAAGACATTTGATCATGTGTCACATTATTAAGCTATATATATTTATTTTCACTTTGTTTGATTCTTCTATTAGTTTATCGATCTTTTCATATTTTGATTATTGTTACGTCTCCGTTTGTTAATTGAAACGAAACTTTAACGACACAAGTCTTTACTTAATAAAACTGGTTTATTCTTTCCGAATATAACTCTGCGATACACTTAATCTCAATACTCGCGCTAAAACAACACTGTAACGAACGAACGTTAACTTCAACAGTACCCTGTGACTGCAGTTCAATTACTCACTATCTATACACACATTACAACAACCTCCCGCGTCACGTTTCCCCCTCTTATATATACCCGCCTACCCCATCTAGCAAACACTAGAGCATTCGCCAAAGTACATGATAGTTCTAGAAACGTTGCGTCACAGTAGTCATGTGACTCGATGACGTAACATTATCTTAGCGAAATACTCCACTTTTGTATTACCTTACTGAGATATTTCAATCTCATGTTACATTATTCAAATACCTTTATCGTGTATTTAATTGATTGTTTTTATTCTTGTATTAACTAACAAAAATGTTTTAATATTGTATTATCTCACTGAAACATTTTGAGTGTTGTATTACTTTTCTCGAATATTTTTAATCTAGTATAACAAGAATATATTTATCTTGTATTACCTTAACAACCTATATTAATCCCGTATAACCGTACTAGAGTTTTTACCCTAGTAACGTATATAATTCTGTATAACCGTACTAGAGCTTTAATATTATATTCCTCTACTAAGATAAATTAATTATGTATTTAACTTCGCTTTATCTGTTGTGTTTTTCTCTTTACTTCATCTGTAATATTGCCCACTCTCAAGTTCTTAACCCGATTTATCTATTTGCGAATTTAAACCCACACTCAGTCATTAATATTGTATATATGTTAATAACTCGCTGAATTCTTGTTTTTGGGGTAAAAACCTTATTTTAAA